GGGGGGGCATGAGCAAGGAGCAGCATAGCACAGATTTTCAAACTTTAGTGTAAGTGAGACGACATTCAAACGAACAGTCCCCCACATTTTTGCGGCTCCCGGGGAACATTTGAGTCGCCCAAACGTTGGGGGGGGGGGGGGGGGGGGGAGGCCGGGCGGGAAAGCATCCGGCTCAACCGTGCCCCACTTACAGTGTCTGCAGGCTGGAGAGGCCTCGAAATGCGCCGTCGGCGATGAAACTGACGCGGTTATTCCCGATGCGAAGCTCGTCTAGCAGGCTGAGTCCAATGAAGCTGGATTCTTCCAGTCGGGACAAGTGGTTGGAAGAGAGGTTTCTGCAACAAAAAAAAAGGCGGGGGGGGGGAATAAATATATCTAGCCAGCCATTTAAAAAAATGACAAATATAACGTTATTTGAATAAATCTGATCATGGACCAGCTGGCCAATTTGGGCTGTTATTTCAAATGAAGGCAATTTCCTTTGACTCACTGGGTTTTTAACGCGAGTGAGACGACATCAAAGTTCGCGACAGCGTTGTTTTCTTGATAGGCGGGTCGGCCGAGAGCAAATCAGATAGCCGGCCGGGTATGTTCCCGAGCCGACTGGCGGCATGTTTACTTGCCGCTTTGCGATAATGAGCGAGTGAAAAGAGAGGAAGAGGGAGGGGGAGAAAAAAAATGACAACAACCACCTCGCAGTGTAAAAAAACAAACAAGGGGAAACAAAAAAAAAAGCTGCAGAGACTGCTGCTAAAAAACAAGACTCATAACAAAGGCAACCTCGTCTGGGGCAATACAATCTGCTCGTATTGCTTCATAGTTTGGGAAACCAGCTGTTGGAGGACAAAAAAAAAAATGCTTAAAAATGTTGTTTTATTTTGGCGGTGCTTTGTTTGTGTGTATTGGTGCGTGCGCGCGGTTCTTGGCGTCAGGAGGAGCGCCGGTGTGAGGAAGGGCAGGCGGGGGTGCCAGAGAGGAGGAGAGGCCAACCCAGAAAAGTGTTGGGAGTTCATCGATGTGAATGGAAAGTGAGGAGGGAGGGGAGGGGAGGGGGTCGGACTCACAGCTCGCTGAGTTTTTGGCAGAACTCCCAGGCGTCGGGTCGGATCCTGCTGATGGCGTTGTGGCCGAGGTGGAGCTGCTGCAGAGTCAGCAGGCCGTACAGCCAACCCTTGCTCACCTCCGTCAGGTTGTTGTGGTCCAGCTGCCTGCGGGACCACAACAAAAAAAATAAATAAAAATCAAAAAATTGTAACACTCGGAGGAAAAACCCGGATCGATTTGTCGAAGCGCTTACAGGACTTCCATATTGCTGAGGCCCCAGAAGGCGCCGTCCATTAAGCGACTCAGGCCGTTCCTCTGCATCTTCAGAGAGCGAAGGGCCTGCAGCCCGTGGAACGTCAAGCCTTCCACCCTGCGCACTCGATTCCGGCTCAGCTCGCTGAAACACACGCGCCCTCATGCTTGAGATCTTTTTTTTTTTGCAACCCTCTGTAGAGTACAGTGAAACTCCTCTACAACGAAACCTACATGGGCGAAAAGACCCCCTTATGTGAAAAAATCTCCTGCCCCCCATACAATGAAAAAAAACCCTGTTGCATTATACGAAATCTTTTTCTCTTGCTCTTGCCTCGTGACGAGATTCACTACAACGAAGTCTAATCCAACAGCGACCTCTACTGCTTCGTTCGGAAACGGCAACAGCAACCACCACACTGGTTTACACAGTAGTCCAGGAAGTATTTGTTATTGTTAATTTCAGACGCAGCAAGAACGTTGCATTGCCTCTGTGTGTCTGTGTGTGTGTGTGTGTGTGTGTCTGTGTGTGTGTGTGTGTGTGTGCGCGCGTTTGCATCTGACATCAAATTTGCAACAGTGAAAAACCCCCTGTTGTGAAAAAATTTCTTGCTGCAAACATGATTTCGTTGTAGAGGAGTTTCACTGTATTTGTCAAGCTTAAAAAATAATCATAATATCTTACAGGTGTTGCAAGTTGGGCAGCTGGAAGATTTTGGCTGGGATGGAGGAGAGACGGTTGCGGTTGAGTCGGAGAACCTGAAGACTGCTGGACAGGTTGGTGAAGCAGCCCGGCTCCAGCGAGGCGATGCGATTGTTGTTGAGGAATCTGACAATTGAATCGTTGAAAGAAATTGAATAGTTGACAACTTTTTTTTAAAAAAAAATTCCAAATCAGAGATGGTGGGGTTATAATGCGTTTCATGTCCTACATGGCTGAAACAAAAAAAAACAAAAAACACACTCACAGGTTCTTGAGGGGCAAAGCGGGGAAGGAGCCGGCCTTGATTTCCGCGATGTGGTTGTTGCTGAGGTCGAGCGTTTCCAGGGCGAGGAAAGGCCCGAGCTGCTCCATGGCGATCTTGGACAACCTGTTGTTTGCTCTGAAAACACAGACGCCGGCTCTCCACATAAATGACAAAATTGCCGCGCATCTGACGAGCGGCGTGCACCCGACTCGCGCTGCCGCGTACACAATTAGCCGGCGGGTTTTCGAACGACTATGACGCACTGCCGCAGGCAGCGCGAAGGCTTCCCGACCAATGTGACACTTCTGGCAAATCGCCCCACGTGATCAATTCCAACAATCCTCCTGTTTACGGATGTGTTATTTTGTTTATAAGGTCATTACGAACAAGGTATTTAAATAAAAGTAACCTGCCAATTACTTGGCTGATGAATACCATTCCCTCAGTGAAAGCCTGCCTTGGCAGAGGCCGGCAATTTCCTGAGCTGCACGCCTCCTAAATTGCAGTGCGGGGACGGCTTGGTTATAAACAGAGGCTGTACAGTGCCCTCTTTGTGCGTCGCACTCCGCTTGCAGAGCGAGTGAAAGGGGGTGGGGGTGGGGGGGCAGGAATTCCCTCCGATGTGCCAGACTACAGGCCTCGTTTTCAGTATTCATTAGTGTGCTTGCAGGGCCCCCTCTTTGCACCCCCTCCTCTTACAGGTACACCTTACTGATCTCCCCCCCCCCAACCCCCCCGCCCTGCCCTGAAGCAAGTGAGGACAATTTTATAATGCCGCTTTAATTCGGGATATGGTGTCGATCGTATTAATTGCGGGAATATTTCAATCAGGTGACCTACAGCAGCGGTCAAAATAAGATACGCCGCAAATACAAAGCGCATGAAAAATACGACTCACCATCGCCGCATGTTATGCGGAGTGCGCGGGAATCTCACGTTGAGAGTCATTTTAGGTCGGACTTCGGATACTGTCTTTTAAATGTAGCCCTATTTTTCTTAACTCATTCACTCCCAAAGATGTTTTTAAACGTCTTGTCAGACTTGGTCTAGACTTGGTTGGTACTGAATGAGTTCAAAGTCGGAGTCCTTTTCTGTCTCCTGGCTGGGCCTTTTCCCCTTCCCAAAGAAACTTTCCAGATAAATTTGTTTTTTTTTACTCATTTGAGTAGCTCCATGGTTTCATTTTAGCGGTAACCTATCACGAGACCGAGAAGCTCCGCCATCCCCTGCGTGACACACTGTAGACGGATGTAACAGAGGATCCGGTAACTTTTCAAAATAAAACACCTTTCAGAGTCCGGAAATAAATCAAGTGGAAGTAATGTAAGTTATTTATTCTTTCTGGGCGGGCCGGTAAGAAAAGACCCGCGGACCGGCGCCGGCATAGCGAGATGGAATTCAGTGTACTGTAACGACACGTGAATGCAAACCGGCGGCTAAGATTTCGAAAGTCTTAAGTCGTGTCCTGATCTCCCGCCCAAAAAAAGGATCCTTGTCACCAATAAATTTGCACAGGCAGCTCCTTTGTTGGGAGATTTGCAAAGGGCTCTGTACACGCCGCACCCCCCCATCCCCGGGGGGGCCTTAAACAAAAGCGCCACTCACCACCTGTAGCTCACTTTTCACGTTCTTTTTGACTGGCCCCTGAAGGAAGGAGGCTCGCGAGAACCAGTCTTTCCAGTTTCTCTCTCGGGGTTATCTGCGTCCTTGAGAAGGACTCTTTTTGACACAGAAATCCCCCCCACCCCTCCCAAAAAAGGACACTACTACCGTAGAGCCTCTCAATTGTACATGTGGCCGCAACTTTCAGTGCTGGGAGCGCTTTCAGACCTTAGTTGCTAAAACTGTCCGTCTGTGATTTTGTGCGTGGGTGTGTGTTTGTGTGTGTGTGTGTGTGTGTTTGTGGTATTTCCTATTGGACGGAGAACCAAGTTTTGAGGAGTCATCTGACGACGCGCTCTCGCGACAGCCGGCGCCTGGAATGAAAACCAGGACTCGCCGTGGAAGCGTTCCTCGCGCCGCGCGCCTCACGCCAAGCGGAGGATCGGCGTTATTGCGGCGG